AACTCAAAATGGATAAAAGACCTCAACGTGAGGCAGGAATCCATCAAAATCCTAGAGGAGATCATAGGCAGTAACCTCTTTGACCTCAGCCACAGCAACTTCTTTCAAGACACATCTCTAAAGGCAAGGTTAACAATAGCAAAAATGAACTTTTGGGAATTTGTCAAGATAAAAAGCTTTTGTACAGCAAAGGAAACAGTCAACAAAACAAAGAGGCAACCCACAGAATGGAAGAAGATATTTGCAAATGACATTACAGATAAAGGGCTGGTATCCAAGATCTATAAAGGACTTATCAAACTCAACACCCCCAAAACAAATAATCCAGTCAAGAAATGGGCAGAAGACATGAACAGACATTTCTCCAAAGAAGACATGCAAATGGCCAACAGACAACATGAAAAAATGTTCAACATCACTAGCCATCAGGGAAATACAAATCAAAACCACGATGAGTTAGCACCTTACACCAGTTAGAATGACAAAAATTAACCAGGCAGGAAACAACAAATGTTGGTGAGGAGGTGGAGAAAGGGGAACCCTCTTACACAGTTGGTGGGAATGTAAGCTGGTACAGCTACTCTGGAAAACATGGAGTTTCCTCAAGATGTTAAAAATAGAGCTACCCTACAACCCAGCAATTGCACTACTAGGGTATTTACCCCAAAGATACAGATGTAATGAAAAGAAGGGGCACATGCACCCTAATGTTCATAGCAGCAATGTCCGCAATAGCCAAACTGTGGGAGGAGCCTAGAAGTCCTTCAACAGATGAATGAATAAAGATATGGTTCATATATACAATGGAATATTACCCAGCCATCAGAAAGGATGAATACCTACCATTTGCATGGACATAGATGGAACTGGAGGGGATTACTGTAAGTGAAATAAGTCAAGCAGAGAAAAACAATTATCATCTGGTTTCACTCATGTGGGACATAAGGAGTAGTGTGGAGGACCACAGGGAAGGGAGGGAAAACTAAATGGGAAGAAATCAGAGAGGGAGACAAACCATGAGAGACCCTGGACTCCAGGAAACAAACTGAGAGTTACAGAAGGGAGGGGGTGGGGGGATGGAGTAACCGACTGATGAGTACTAAGGAGGGCACATGTGGTGATGAGCACTGGGTGTTACATGCAACTAATGATTTATTGAGCACTACATCTGAAACTAATGATGTTCTGTATGTTGGCTAACAATTATAAAAAAAAATAAAGGAGTTCTCAATGTACTTAGAGTATACTGGTGAAGATATGTTAAGTAATGAAATGAATATGAAAACTAAGGAAAGTGTGATTATAAGTTTGGATAGTGCTCAGATGGAAGGAACGTTGCCTTATGAGACCCTGACCTAGGCTGCGGGGTCAGGAAAGGCTCTTTTGTAAAAAGTAACACTTGAGCTGATTGGAAGGATGAGTAGGAGGTTACTAAGGAAAGGAATTGGGGTGTGGATGAAATGAGTGTGTGCACGTATGTGCATACTCATATGTTTATAAAGAGTGCTGAGTGTGGGGCTTGGCGTATGGTCAGCATTGCATGTAGCGTATGCCGGTAGCAGTACTTGCAGTGCTGGCATCATCAGCTGTTGGCATCTGACACTGCCCTTATCATGCCCTCTTGCTGATGTGATGGAACAGTTAGCCCTATGGTACAGATGAAGCCCCTGCATCAGAGATGAAGTGATGTACTTGGCGCCACACAGCTAAGCTGATGAAGGTGCCAGGTTTCAAACTACATCTCTCCCCCTCGTCTCGAATATTTCTTCTATAGCCATCTCAGTACTTGAGATTTCAGAGTTCATCTTCTGTGAAACGTGAAGGAGATGAAGTCAAACTTTGATAGCTTCTTTCCACCCCAGGGCCTGCTCTCCGCTGCCCGACCAGCTCCCTCCCCCTCAGCTCCCACCTGGCCTAGGAGTTTACTCTTCCTTTATTTACTCCTGTTGCATTTTGGTAGTTTTCCCATCAACATCTTTCTTTTTTGTTCTCAGTTTACATTGGCCATTTTTTTTAAGTTTGTATGAAAGATTGTGTGAGTTCAGTGTGAAATGAGTGAATTGGGGGTGGAGGGTACACAGTATCCTGTCTGGTTTAAAGGGGACATGTTCCCTTCACTTCTTGGAGTATTATTTGGAGAAGGTTGCCAGTTTGGCTTCTACTCTTATTCTTAAAAACATCTCCAGTGGCATTTGTTATAATCATTGTAACAGACTCACTCCCCTAACCCTCTTCTACCCTTTAAGATCACTCATTCCCAGGTTCATTGCCTGTTCCATGATAAACCTCCCCTGTTTGCCTCTAAATGCTTGAGGTTCCTTCATTTTTTCGTTTTGAACCTTAGAGACTTTCCCTAATAATATTTTCCTTAGAGACTTTTCCTGATGTTATCAACTGCTTTGTATCCTATCACAGATGGCATATTTTATGAAACATTTTATCCTGTAAATTTAACTCCTGAGAAATCACCAGACTATATGTGAAGAACATGAGGTTCTATAGAAGGAAGGTGTTATGTAGATTTATTTTTTTAAACTAATTGTAATCATACTGGTATGCTATTGTGTTACTTTTTTTTTGGAGAATTAAGATAATATCACTTCAAAGTAAAACAGTTTGAGATATTGCCATGGGCATAATGTATTTTTCATGATTAGAATAGCTTCTCTGTTGGATCTCCCTGGCCTCTTTTAATCTCCTGTTAGTCCCATACTGTTCTGTAGTCCCAGGGGGACAGGCATTCTTTTTAGAAGAGATAACAGTTGATTTTCACTTCCCAGGATTTGGCTCTGGCAGATAACTATTTTCTTTTTTGAATTTTAACAGTGTTATTGAGGTATAATTTACATTTCACAAAATTCACACATTTAAAATTCATTTATTTTTTGGAAATTTATAGAGTTGTACAACCATCTAACAATCCAGTTTTGGAAGTTTTCCATCATCCTAGAAAGTTCCAATGAACGTATTTCCATCAATCCCTCATGCAACCACTGATTTGCTTCTTATCTTTTTAGATGTGCCTTTTCTGGGCATTTCACGTAAATAGAATCATACAGTATATAGTCTTTCATGCCTGGCTTCTTACATTTAGCAAAATGGTTTTGAGAAGCTCATCCATGTTGTATCAGTAGCTTGTGGTTTTTTATTTCTGAGTGATGTTTCACTGTATGGGTATACCACATTTTGTTTTTGTCCACTAACCAGTTGATGGATATTTCTATTATTTCTGTTTGGGGGTGTGATATCAATAATTCTACCATGAACATTTGTGGTCTTTCTGTGATGTATATCTTCACTGTACTTGGGTAGATTCCTAGGGGTGAAATTGCTGGGTTGTTATGTTATATTCTCACCAGCGTTGAATGAGGATTCTAGTTTCTCTACATCCTTATAAAAACTTGGTTTTGTCTTGATGACAGCCATTCCACTGCCGTGTAACGGTATCTTATTGTGGTTTTAATATGCAGTTTCCTAATAAGTAATAATGTTAAGCATCTTTCCATGTGCTTATTACTTTTTCTAAATGTTTATTCCAATATTTTACCCATTTTGATGTTGGGTTGTCTTTTCATTATTGAGTGGTAATAGTTCTCTATATGTTCTATATTTGAGTCCTTTATCAGATGTGTGAATTACAGATACTTTTTCCCAGCCTGTACCTTGGCTTTTTGTTTTCTTAATTAAATCTTTTGAAGCACAGAAGTTTTTAAAATTGTAGTGAAATCCAGCTTTTTATTTTATTTTTATGCTTTATGGTCCTGGTGACTTATCTGAGACTTCTTTGACTAAACCAGAGTCACAAAGATTTTCTCCTATGTTTATTTCTAGAAGTTTTATAGCTTTAGCTGTTACATTGAGGTCTGTGATACATTTTGAGTTGATTTTTGTGTATGCTTGAGGTAAGGGTCTGAGTTATTTTGTTGCATATTACTATCGAGTTGTTCCAATACCATTTATTGAAAAGACATATTTTCCCCCATTTAATTGTCTTGTACCTTTGTTGAAAGGCATTTTACTAAAAATATAAGGGTTTATTTCAGAACTCTCAATCCTGTGCCATTTATCTGGTGGTCTATCTTTATGCTAGTTCCACACTGTCTTTTTTTAATATTTTATTTATTCATTTATTTGAGAGAGAGAATGAGATAGAGAGAGCATGAGAGGGGGGAGGGTCAGAGGGAGAAGCAGACTCCCTGCTCAGCAGGGAGCCCGATGCAGGACTCGATCCTGGGACTCCAGGATCATGACCTGAGCCGAAGGCAGTCGCTTAACCAACTGAGCCACCCAGGCGCCCTACACTGTCTTGACTATAGCTCTGTAGCAAGTTTTGAAATCAGTGTGAATTCTCCAGATTTGTTCCTATTTTTCAATATTATTTTGGCTATTCTAGTTCTTTGCCTTTTCATGTGTTTTAGAATTAGTAAATAGCTACAAAAAGACTGCTGGGATTTTGATTGGGATTGCTCTGACTTTATAGATCATTTTAGAGAGAATGGAATTTACCAATCCATGAACATTGCATATCTGTCCATTTTTGGTCTTATTTGATTCCTTTCATTAGCATTTTATAGTTTTTAGTATATAGATCTTACACATATTTTGTTAGATTTATATGTAAACATTTAATTTTAAGTGTGCTATCGTAATGATGCTCTTAAAAAATTAATTTCTTATCTCTCTTCACCATTGCAATTTTGCTCAAACCCTATCAGTCATCTTCTCCCATGTTGTATTTGAATCTGGCCAAATACCAGCTACTTACTTTCTTACAAAATAAAGTAAGTAGCTGTTAAAATTTTTCATTTGTGGTTTCTAAGAGATAAAGGGATGAACAATTTTTATTATTTTGAGTCAGTGATTGGTCAGTAGTTGTTCAGTAAGACTGTCATGTTAGTCTGCTTACATTCCTAATAACGTAACACACAAACCTTTTCTCAAGAGGTTTGGTCTGTTGGGAAAGGGTGAGCACATAACCTTTCTTCTTTCCTCTTCAGGTGTCGCAGCTTCCCTGGAAGTTTCCGAGAGCCCTGGGAGTATCCAGGTGGCCCGGGGCCAGACGGCAGTCCTGCCCTGTACCTTCACTACCAGCGCTGCCCTCATTAACCTCAATGTCATTTGGATGGTCATTCCTCTCTCCAACGCTAATCAGCCTGAGCAGGTACTTTTGTTCATTCCATGCTACCTCTCAAACGTTAATCTTTTCAGAAGAGGTGGGTAGAAAAGCATCCTGAGTACATATTTGATTTCTAGAATAAGGTAGCACTTTCAGTGAGCCTATGCTGTTTTAAATCTTACTCCTGTGTTGTTAGTCAACTATCAGAAGAGTTTATCCTCTTTTTAAGAGACTTTTTTTTCCTTTTTTTAACAGATGTCAAGGGACTCCTTCTGAGAATTTTATGTAGGAATCTGGAATTTTATCAAAAGGCATTGCTGATAGGAAATACCAAGACAGAAAAAGCAAAGTATACTTTGACAGGAAGGGACTGACACTGACACAGGTGGATGAGAGTATGTTTTAGAGACTGATAATGTTAAGGAAGTAACATTAGATAGCAGTACTTGATTTATTTGGCTAATTTCACAAGTGTTTTAAAATAAACACAGTCAGGCATGCTAGCCAGCCTCAAAGAGTCTCAGATAAATTAGGGTACATGAAAACAGAAGCTACTACCCAATTACAGGTAAAAGACCCATAATTTGTATTAACCATTGCAGAAAATGATGCTCAGAAAATTAATGAATAGTAATCATGATTATACCTTCATTCCCAAAGATAATTTATTACCGTTATGAAGCTTTACTGCTTCAGTAAGCTTATTACTGACTAAAAATATGTGATAAGCTAAATTTTCTGATATGAATTCAAATATGTATATTTAATAGGAGCTTTTTTTGTTTCTTCAAACCATGGAATTTATTATAATTAAACTGAACCTTTGAGATTTTATTCAACCTTATCATTTTAGGAGGTAACGAAAGACTTGGCTGTAACAAACAAAGACTTGTTTGTTACTCAAACATTTACAGATAGAGCTGAAATAGAACCAAGTTTTCATTCTCAGCCCACAAGGCTTTTTGTAACACCATCCTGAGTCCTGTCTCATGAATAGTTAACTTAGATAATAGAAATTGACGAAAGAAGAGTCATGGACCTACAACTCTTCTTCCCTTTTATGACATTCATTTATAATCAGGCTATGACTATGATCTATCGTTTTGTCACTCTACTAAGCATGAGAATGGAGTACTGATTTTTTAAACTTTTTATTTTGGAATTATTTGAATAAAAATATTTACGGGCTGATAGTAGGATTGCATTCAAGACATATTCTATATTGTGATGACTTAGACAAGGGAACAGTGTTATTCCAACTTGGGATATGAGAATTTAGAATCCCAGAATATACCTATGCACTGGTGCTGTAGTAACAAGTGGGTGACAACTATAAGATGAGAAATTCAGTTTTCCGATGTTTGGTGCAGTCCACTATCTACCAGTTGGTTATTGTTATGTGCTATGTGTCTAGAAGGGGGTGTAGTGGCTTATTTATTTATTTTGCTTTCTTTTTCAGGTCATTCTGTATCAGGGTGGACAGATGTTTGATGGTGCCCCCCGGTTCCATGGTAGGGTAGGATTTACAGGCACCATGCCAGCCACCAACGTCTCTATCTTCATTAATAACACTCAACTATCAGATACAGGCACCTACCAATGTTTGGTCAATAACCTTCCAGATAGAGGGGGCAGAAACATTGGGGTCACCGGTCTCACAGTTTTAGGTGAGTGATGGGATGTTCCAGGCACCTTGGTTTTGCTTATGATACGACTTTTCTCTTGAGCGTATTTATTTCTGCCCATCCTTCTACACATTTGCTCTGATCATGTCCTTTTCCAGTCTCCTCTCCTGTCTGCCCTGTTTGGACTCTGCTTCTCTCTGCTTTTTACACATCATCTTCACATCCGTTTCTCCACTTCTGGTGGCTCTCTAAATCTTCTTAAATGATTTGTTCTGAAAGTGGAGAAAGGGTGTAAAATACCATCACAAGTGGCCTCTCGCTTTTCTCCAGCGTTTACGGGATAGGACTTATCGTTGAGAGTAAGTTAAATCAAGAATCATTTATTCTGAGTACGAAGTAGAAGTTTCAGCACATGTGAGAAGAAAATGATTATTGCACGTCTACGTAACACTGAGTAGGCTCCCCACAGTTCTCGGCTTACACCTCATGTCCTGGTATAATTTCAGTAAGACCTCCTTTTACTCTGAAAAGTCTAAGAATGGTAAGTTATTTGATCAATTTGGTCTTAGTACTGAGACCATACAGATTTAGGGCCTTTTTCAAGGTGGCATAGACAATGAACAATAAAGCTAAGATTAAAATGTAGATCTCTTGTCTCAACCGGGTACTTCTCCCATTATACGGTATAGTTAGACTATCTCATACTAAATTAAGTCCATTCTAAACATGTTTTATTTCTCACTTCTGCCTCTGAAATAAAACACTGCCTCCTAAATGCATACTTGTGGTAGAGAAGGCTGATGCTCTTGATTGTCCTCCATCCTATTCATGTCTCAGAATCTACTCCCTCATCCTTGGCAAATTTTGCCCTTCCGTTTCCCTCCCATTGTTGAGTTATTTGAGAATATCAGTACTGAGGCTTTTTGCCATTTTCCCTTTTTGGGTGACAAAATGCTATAGCCTTGGTGCCTTGTTTTCCTAGTCTTCAAACAAAATAAGAAAACTAAGGACCGGGTTGGGGATTTCTATCCTAGAAATACTGTAATATGGTTAAAATTGTAGAATTTTTAATTATATTATTTTTATATCATGTATGTTACATTATATTTTATATGTTGTATATTTATATAGAATGTTTAATACAGATTTTTATTAAATATGGAGATTTAAAAATGCTTGAGTACTGAATACAGAGTATTGATGGAATTTCAATGTTTTTCTGATGTTTATACCTCTAAGTTAGATAACTGTCTTCCCACAGTATCTAAGTTTATTTTTTCATTTTTTAAAGGAAGAGAAAAAGTGCCTTAATTTATCTTATAGTTACTGCTACCTTCAAAGAATTATTTTGGGTTTCCTTGACAGCATCATAGTGGCAACGATGAAGGCAGTAATTGAGGAGATTGGTTTACGCCATCACAGCAGTTATGATTCTCTGAGATTTTTTACTTTTCCTACCTTATACCCTTTCATTGTTCTCTCTGCCCCCACCTGCTTTCTTTCCTGGCGCCTATGTCTACTGCACTTACCTTTTATGCATTCATACATTCATTTTTGAAAGGTTGAACACATTTGTTGAAAAGTCATTAAGCAAGTAGTACATCATCACTTGGATTTAAACTTTACTTCTTATGTACCCCAGCATGGGACTCCAAGCTGTGGGCTTAGTTTATATTTTTATTTGCTTGCATTCTTCTTGCAAAGCACCACCTTCTTCCTTTACTGCTCTTTTTGGGTAATTTTTTATTTCATGTCCTTTGTGTCCTTATCTGCCTTAACATGTCCACTGAGTTACGACCAAGCAGTAGACATACGTGAACCTTACTCTAACTTCCCACACTACAAAGCAGAATAATATAAATTAGGCCTGTCTGGTTTTTGTTTGTAAAGTAACAAAGAACCTTGTTCAGAGAATAGCTACCCGGGTCATTGGTTGCTCTTCCTTGAAATATCTTTTCTAAAAGTGGCTTCTTTCAGGAATTAAAAATATTTTTTAATTGTGGTAAAATACACACAACATGAAACTTGCCATCTTGGCCAGTTTTTAAGCGTACAGTTCTGTGGTGTTAGGTACATTCACATTGCCGTGCAACCAATCTCCAGCACTCTTCATCTTGCAAAACTAAAACTCTGTGCTCATGGGAGCACCTGGGTGGCTCAGCCGGTTAAAACTGTGCTCATTAAACAACATTTCCTTCTCCTACCAGCCGTGGGTAACCACTTTTTTATTTTCTGTTTCTGTGGATTTGACTACTCTAGGTGCCTCACAGAAGGAGAATAATTCTCTTTTTATGACCACCTTATTTCACTTAGCATAATATTCTCAAGGTTCATCCATGCTGTAGTATGTGTCAGAATTCCCTTCCTAGTCAAGGCTGAATAATGTTTCATAGTATGTATGTACCACATTTTGTCTATCTGTTCATCCATCCGTGGACACTTGGGCTGTTTCCTTTGGCCTCTGTGAATCATGCTGCTGCATACATGTGTGTGCTCACTAATGTCTCTGAAGGCCACCTGTGGGCCTAAAGACCTTAAACGTTCTTCTTTAGAGGAAGGAGAATGAAACCAAGACCATAAGATTCCTTGAAAATAGAATGAAAGGGTGTAGCCCCTTTTACATGTTTGCCCCCTGCGAGCTGAAGTTGGGCGTCCTGCACCTGTGCCCAAGCTCCGTGAATAGTACCTGACAAGCCACAGGCTTCCCTCATGTGGTAGTCTTCTGGTATGTGTCCTACAAACATTGTTGTCTGAGGTTCCAGCACCCTGAATGTTGATGTCCTTTCCGTCATCAGTTGGCTTACAGTAAATGCATCTTTATTCCTTACTCTTCCTATTATAGTTCCCCCTTCTGCCCCACACTGCCAAATCCAAGGATCCCAGGATATTGGCAGCGATGTCATCCTGCTCTGCAGCTCAGAGGAGGGCATCCCTCGGCCAACTTACCTTTGGGAGAAGTTAGACAATACCCTCAAACTACCTCCAACAGCCACTCAGGGTATGTATGGTGTTGCTTTACCCATTTGATCAGTTACCATGCAAAATTAAAATTCTAAGACTCATGAAGTAATTAAGTTTAATAGATTTTGAAAAATAACACACTGTATCTGTAACTGCTAAAAAGCTATCTAAATCATTTTGTGTTTTCAACTTTAAAGAGAATAAAACATTTTCTCTCTCATGTGCTGCCTTTATGTATCTCATCCAGTGGTAACTATATATGGAAATTCCATTCTATTACAGTGAAGATTTAAAATAGCTAAATGGTGCCTTCTTTATATTGTTAACTGTAAAATAATCCTTGAAGTTTATAACTGAGAAGCCACTTTCTTCTTGAGGCACAGTTGCCTGTTTTAGTATGAGAAACATCAGCATGATCATGGGGGGCGGTCAATCATCCTGTTTTCAGCCTCAAGTCTAGTTGGAGGAAGAAGATGGGAAAGAGAACAGGAAAAGATCTCAGATCCTGGGAGAACCAGGAGTTGATCCCACCAAACAGGTAAAGAAGGAGGAGACATGAGTGTCATCGATGATTTTCTACATGTAAATCGAGCAATTTAAATTGGTTAATAAAGGAAATACTCTAGAAAATTTGAGGAATACTGATAAAATAGAATGAGGGAAAATTACAGCATTGTATATAAAATTTTCTATTCCAACAAAATAAAATTTAGCGGCCTTGAGTGTTGTATCATCTGTGATACAGGGTATGTTCCTTGTAGCATTCTCAGGGCACGTGTATAAATCTTAAGTTAAAGAGTTGGCAGTTAATGAAGGGGTCCCAAACAACCTGAATTATTGCTGATAAGCTTGAATCCTATTGATGGTCGATGGCTGTCATTGAAACGCAAAGTCCTAACTTGTGTGGTAAAGGTAGCATATGAAAGAACCAGGGCCACCAGCCCTGTAAGAGCCTGTAAGGTTTCTGTAAGAATCCCAACAGAAATATTAATGGACCTTTCCATCATTTTTTAATTTACTCAGCCCAAAATTAATTATTTAAAAAAACTTCTCAGTGACAGGGGCATAATAACTTCTGGCTTACTCTGGTAATGATTACTGCAATACCGTCGTTCCCCATGGATTGCTAAATTGCTAAATGTTTCAGCCACACTGTGGGGTAAATAGCTTTTTTTGTGAACTAACTTGTTAATCTCACTATTTACATGTAAGTAGCATGTTTAATCTAGCTCTTGTGTTGAAATCCTGAAAACCATATTTAAATTCCAGATTTTTCCAGTATGTATTTCCAGTGACAGTTTACCTCTCTGGGCCTGTGTAGCCTTTTTTTAAAATAAGGGGATTAAATAATCATTTCCAATGTTCTTTGTATCAGCACTAAGATTCTATGATTTATATTAAAAACATTTCTGTGAAATATTGGACTGGGTTTGGAATTACAAGTGAATGCTTAAGAGTGGTTGTTTGTATGTAAGTTGAGAAATACACTGTAGAAAGAGCCTGTCACATCTCTTTGTCTTTGAATAAGTGTATCAGTCAAGTTTTTTGGTATCTTCTTTGCAACTTAAATATTTTTTAGTACTTTAGGTAGGAAAGTGAACTTGAATGCTAAAGAAGAAAATGTTTGGCTTTTGTAATTCAAACTCTGGATTACTTATCAGAATTACTTTGAATAACTTCATTTATCATAATGTACATTAAGTGAATCAGATTTTTTATTTAAATTTACCTCTTGGTACTGATATTAATAAAATAGATCTTAAAATAGTATATAATACTAAAATAACAGATTTTAAAAACACTTTACTAATATGTTTGCAGGTGTTTAATATAAACTCAAGATGTATTCTCTGAGAAAAGAATATTTGACATCAGGGAAGAGCACTCTAGAAGTCAAATTAGTAACAGGGGCATAATATTTGGGGATTAGAATTGTCCTTGTGTGTAGGGGCTAGCTTGAAGGAGCTCCTTTTGGCCAAATCTGGGACAATTTGAAAATTAAAATAAATATATAATCTATTGAATAAAATGAAAATCCCCGAATCCTTGCTGATATGCATAAATAAATGGGAGAGAAGGAAATGTGTTTTCTTAGGGTTAGAATGACAACTAATGTTTGTAGAAGGAACAGTGGAGTTTGAAAATCACCATTGGTGTCAAAATAGTGGGCAAAAGTTTGATGAGGAACTAGATATTTACATAGTTCCAAAGTGTGCCCCCACATATTCCTTATTAATTATAAGATAACTTTATAATGGAGAGACCTGGTTGATAACGACTTTAACCGAGTGATCAAAGTGAACATTACCAATACTGTTAGAAACTGATATCCTGTGCCTACTAATATATGTATGCCTTGAGGAGGACACAGCATCATTTCTGTGGTATTCTTGTTACAAACACATAATCTGAATCCAGTCATGAGGAAACATCAAACAGAGGTGAAGACAAAACTGTTCCAGATTGAAAGAGACCAAGGAGTTAAGAAAATACAATGCAGAATCCTGGATTAGAATCTGGACAGGGGAAGAAAGAGCCAGAAAGGACATTACTGGTACAGTTGATGGAATCTGAGTGTACACTGTAGATTGGGTAATACTACTGTATTGATGTTAAATTTCTTCACTTTGGAACTTGTACTGTGATTATGTAAAGAACGTCTTTGTTCTTAGGAAATATGAAGTACTGTTTGGCCTGTGCTTCTAAGGTCTGCACAACTTGCCCAGGTTTCAGTAAGTGTCTGGGTCTGTGTCACAGTTCACCAACACCTGCCTCAGTGGTTCTCAACTGGGACAGTTTTATTTGGCAGTATATGGAGACATTTTTGGTTATCACAACTGATACAAGAGGGTGCTACCAGCAGCTAGTGGGTAGGGGCTAGGGATGCCACCATAATAAAGAATTATCTGGCCCATGGGGCACCTGGGTGGCTCAGTTATTGAGCATCCAGCTCTTGATTTCCGTTCAGATCATGATCTCATGGGTTGTGAGATTGAGCCCGATTTCAGGCTCCATGCTCAGCACAGTCTGCTTTCCCTCTCCCTGTGTTCTTCCCTCCCCCCCAACTTGTTCTCTTTCTCTCAAATAAAATCTGAGAAAAAATAGAAAAGAATTATCTGGCCCAAAATGCCAATGAGTGAATGACATTAATATATTTTCTAATGTTAAATATCCTTGCATTTCTGGAATAAAGTCTATATGATTGTGATTATTTTTTAATAAACTGCTCCATTTGGTATGGTAACATTTTAATAGAATTTTTGCATTTGTGATCATAAGTGAGAATGGCTTATGGTTTTTTTTTTCTGTCTTCCATTGCCCTGGTTCAATTTTAGTACCAGATTATATAAGGGTCTCATAAAATGAGTTAGGCAGTTTTCCCTCTTTTTCTATACTCTGATAATAGTATGAATAAGATGGAGATTATTTGATGATTTTGTAAATTTGCCTATAAAAGCTGTACCTTGCTGTTATATTTTGTTGGTAGATTTTTGACTACTGACTACTGTTGGTAGGTATTTTTCTAGTGATATGAGTTTACTTAGATTTTCTGTATCTTCTCTATTTTTTCTTTTTTTAAAAGATTTTATGTATTTGAGAGAGAAAAAGAGTGCATGCATAACTGGGGAGGGGAGGGGCAGAGGGAGAGGGAGAAACAGACCCCCCACTGAGCAGGGAGCCCCATCTAGGGCTCCATCCCAGGACCCTGAGATCATGACCTCAGCTGAAGGCAGATGCTTAACCGGTTGAGCCACCCAGGTACCCCCTTCTCTATTTTTCTAGAAAACATCTTTTTTTTTTGTCTGAGTTTATACATATTGGCATCAAGTTGTTCATATATTCTATGAAGTCAGGAGAATGTAGTTAAGAGTGCAGGTTCTGGAGTCAGAGGATGTGATTTGGAATCCTGGCTCCAGGGGTGACTGGTAATGTGACCTTGTGCCTTAGTTTTCTTACATGTAAAATGGACACAATAATACTAATTCCCTCACAGGGGTGGAATAAAGATTAAATGAAAACATGTGCAAAGCTTTTAGAACAGCATTTGGCATGAATAAGCATTTAATAAATACTAATGTTTTTATTATCATTAGTATTATTTTCTTGTATATTTTAAAACTCTGTTATATTTCCTTTTTCATTATTCTGTTTATGCTTTTTCATCTTTATTTTTTGGATCAATCTTGTTAAATCAAGCTTTCGATTTTATACTTTTGTATACTGATATTCTGTTGTTCATTTATTCATTCAACAAATATATGGTAGACACCTACTAGGTTCCAGACACTGTTCTAGCTGCTGGAGATAGAGTGGAGTACAGAACAGAAATGCTTCTTTCATTGATAGAACTTACTTTCTAGTGGGTGGAGACTGAATGTAACGAATCAGTAAATCACAGTTTATTATCATATGATGCCTTCTGGGGGGAAAACATGGAGGAAGGTAAAATGGATTCGTTGGGGCATGAGTTCTGCTGCAATGTTGAATAAAGTGCTTAGGGTAAATCTCACCAAGAGGATGATAACCTAAGGATGATGTAAAAATGATGAAAGAATGAGCTTTGTGAATATGGGGGCTGGAGAGTATTCCAGGCAGAGGGAACAGCCATCTGAAGGCCCTGAGGCCAGAATGCGCCTTGTGTTTTGGATGAACAGCACAGAGGCCAGTGTGTTTTGAGTGGAGCAAGTGAAGCAGAGGATAGTGAGAGCTATGATGTCCAGTTACAGGTGCTAGGATGGAGATACAGGCACACCTCATAGATATTGTGGGTGTAGTTGCAGACCACCATAATAAAGCAAATATCATAGTAAAGTGGGTCAAGTGAATTCTTTGGTTTCCCAGTGCATGTAAAAGTTATGTTTGCATTGTACTGTAGTCTGTCAAGTGTGCAATAGCATTATCTCTAAAAAAACAATGCATGTACCTTCATTTAAAAGTACTTTATTTCTAAACTATGCCAACCGTCATCTGAGCTTTCAGTGAGTTACTATCCTTTTGCTTGTAGAAGGTCTTGGCTCCGTCTTGATGGCTGCTGAC